TAAATTCAGAACAATTAACCGTCGAGTTTTTATGGTGTAGCAAATGAAATAAAATAAATATAATAGAAAATAAATAAAATAATATATTCCAGGAACGCCCGTTTCAATTAAATTACAAAAAGCAACACAAAATAATTTGTAACTGCGAATGTGTGCGTTTGTTTTTTGAATAACAACAAACGCAGACTAGGGCTCTGTAGAGTCCTGCCAGTGATGAATAAATAAATAAATAAATAAAATAACATGTTTTGGAAGAGTATAGTTCGTTATAATCAAATCGCAAAATATGGCATTTTATATCTACAATCTACAACACCTTTTTGCATCAAAACAGTCACAGCGGACATAAATAAAAACCACGACTAATGATCAATGCATTTCGGCCATGTGACAGCTTGCCAACAAGTGACGTCAGCTTGAGGAGGCAGTGTAGAGGATAAAGTGGCCAAACACTTGTTATTCTGATTTATGACCGGAAGTTGAGGGTTCTGTTATTGATTTACGAGAAACGCCATATTGGTTCCATCAGCCTGAGAGTATTTTGACAAATAGTTTTCATTTTATAGAAAAACATACAATTTAAAAAAAAATCCAGTTCCTAATATTATGTCAACAAGCCGTGTCGTTGAAAAACCTAGAAATTGGGTAATGGACCGGAATAAACGATGACGTCACATTTAGGTCATGTTAACAAACAACTGTTTTTTTCTGATAAAATGGCCTGATTTACTAGTAGTTTACATCCCTGGTTAACACCGGATTAATACTCTATTTACTACTTTCACTAGTTAGTCAGACAGAGGTTAAAAATGATGCATAATTAACGTGACACATTGCGTTAATCCGACGAGCGTTTAATTTGCCACTTACCTTATTAATCGGCTTCCTATGAAACCAGCGCGCTATCCAACGCCGACAGCAAATGTACTGTCTCCGAATTGGCCGGCTGTTTTATTTTTTAATTGGACGTTCCTGGTAGCGATAGCTATTTAATCATGTATCGTCGAAATCCGTCGCCATTTTGAAACTGGTATAATAAATGGTAAGGTCGGCACACAGATGTTCATCTATTCTGTGATGTATACCAGCACCAAACTCCGTGTAATGAATAGCATATCACTCCGCGTTTGTGCGTCAACTTAGGGGGTACGCATCAACAGGTGGAATAATAAAACTCCCTAACGGACTTGGAGCTAGAATACTTTCGATGGATACATTCATCGACAGAGGTCTTGGTCAAATCCAAGTTACTGTGAGACGTAATTATGAACTTAGGATACTGTTTCCTAAGCTGACACCCAAACTATCCTCGCTTAGATCACATGCGTTATTTGCTTTTAACTGAAGGCCCGGTGCACGTGAATAACTGGCGTTTAGGCGAAAATTTAATACATAAGTGGGCCCTTTTAGTGGGGCACATTGATACCTGCAATATTTTGATGGAATTGAAGCGGCGAAGTGATTACATGGGGCAACTAGATGTTTTAATTTTTTTTCTCATTTTCAATGATTTGAAGTCTTAGCATTTTAGTTTAAAATAACGATCGCATCCGTTTACGCGTAAACTAAAATATTTGTATATGTAACTTTTCATATTTATTTTCAGTATGCTTTATTTTTATTCACATTTCACTAATTAAAAATGTTTACCGTACTGAAATAATCACAATTATAATAAATTTGTGCATTTTCACCAAAAAATAGCAAATCACAATAATTTTGCACATTGTCGTATAACTGACGGGGAAATAATTGCATCACTCCATAATGCTAGTATGAGTTGCATTCTTAGTATATAAAGCAAGAACATATATAAAAATATGTAGTCATTTTTTTAAAAAATATTATTTTAATAAAATCCCCATTTTTGTAACAACCTTCATTATTGAAAAAATATAGTCATCTATGATATAAATGATGTCAATATTGAACATTATTTAAAAGCCCATTTTTTCAAGTTAAATTTTAATTCTCAACATTTGTTGCTATATTTAAAAACATTAAAGTCTATATTTGTTATACTGTTATCATGATAGGAACTATATTTGTGTGTAGGGCAAGATTTTATTTTGACGAGACACTGATTTGCATGACCTGCAGGTATATCTACGAAGATTCCGATCCTTTGTCAGTGTCAAAGTTCAAAGCGCGTAAGTACCGGAAATATGACATTACCATAATACAGTTTTAGTGAATGTTTATCAACTTCCGGTATCAAAATACCTATCTTACGAACATAAAACACGTTTTATCGCAGTAAATACAAATTACGTTAACAAAATAATTCGAACTAGAATATTGGAACACCAATGTCAACATATTGGAAATATTATAACAATAATAATAAATATTCCCGGGTGATATTCCAGGCGTGCCATACTAGTATTTGGCACATGGTGCCGGGTAGGCCTTTACGTGGCACATGGGAGTGCTACAATTCGTCATTATTACTAATATTGAATACACACAACCTATACGATATTGATGAACTGAAAATTTAACCAAAGAGGTAAAATTCACGCTAAAATTCTATTCAATCAAACATAGGTTCAAGTACATAAGTTGAGATTATTGTTAATCAAAATTATCGTCTATTTCAGTTTATAATTTTATTAAAAAACGGCATACCTGAACAATCCACAGAAGCATCACGTTCGTCAGGCAATGTGCGTTTGAAGTTTATGTAGTCAACACATGTAAACTAACAATATGTTTCCACACGCGTTGTATACGTCGTGTGGGTCCCATATCAAACACGACGCGATGCGACGGCTGTCCCAAACATAAACCAGTACATACCATGCATGTTATTTTTACCCACCATGGAAAATGCTGTTTGTTGATCCAGTCGTGCTTCAGAGATTATCTGCCTATTTATATGACGTTTTGAAACAAGATAGTTTGACCAAGTCAAACTACATGTAATTGAAAGTTAAAATAATAACATACATGTTATGAGGCGAGAATACCGCCAAAATTAGCTTGGTGTCATTATTTGAACATTGTTTAGTTGTTTGGTCTTTATTTGGAAACTTGTTTGGTTATTATTTGGTCATTAATCGGTTATTTGGTCTTTATTTAAACATTATTTTGCGCTTATTCCATTATTGTGTTATTACTGCAGCATCGTATTGCTATTGTTTCATTATTTCAACTTTATTTCTTAGTTATTTCATTATTGTGTAATTGTTTCATCAACATCCAGGGGACTGACTGAGGTCGTCAGACCCAGTCGCGACAAATTATCAAAGGACACAAAACTTGTTGTTGACACGACGCGCCCGTAGCGAAATTCCCTGTAGTCTAAGCTGTGAAAAATGAAATTAACAATTCGTTTCTGGTGACGGGGCAGCTTTCGCCGACATTACAAATGTATTACAATTTATGCAGGACGGTGTTGCAATGTGATAACGAGGTCGCGTTTCCACGCAACTTCAGTCGAA